CACAGCATTCCTTTTATTTCAATATATTCTATTTCGCAATCCCACCAGCCCCACCCCAACAAAAAACCTAACCTGCAATTGTTCATAAAGGGAAATATGAAAAGTAAAATGTACCAGGCACTATATTCTATGAAATAAGACAGAAAATCCCTTTGGATATAATTATTTGATGGGTCCTATATAAAAAAATTCTTAAAAACAGATCTGTGTAACATGGAGAGGATCTTTCACGCCCACAATTTGAAAGAGAAGTATGAAGTGGCAGACTGAAAAAGGAATTTAAATCTGGTAGGAATTTGGAATATGCGACTGGTATCTGAAAACATATTACAAATCGCTGCGACTTCATCGTCACACACTCCCAAAAGCAGCATTTCATTCTTATCACATCTTGCAACTTAAAACAAATTAATCCCACATGGGGTGGAAGGCTTAGCACAAGTACAGTATTCCCAATGTTAAATCCTACCTTGAGTAGGTCCACGTAAATAGTAGCACTCTGCACTAGTCCACTAAACACTATTAAAAGAGCTTAGAATATTTTCCCACTCCATTGTTAAATTGATCTCTGCTGTAACACATCCTTACCATAATGGTGTATTTGGAACGCTTCCAAACTCCAGCATTATAATGAGGATTTATTGCATTTTGTTAGAAGAGGTCCATTAAATCAGTTACACATTCCAACACTGACCTTGATGACTACCTTAACCAGAGAATGGCAAATGCCTCTGTCTGCCTTCACTGAGAAACAACTGAAAAAAAGCTGCGCTTGAAAAAGCACTTGTACAGGTATTCATTTCACAATTGAGTTCTACTGGATGGCTTTAAGATAAGTTATTAATCCCACCATTTACAAATACTGTCTTCAATACTTCATTTATTTTTTTTAAAAAGCGTGTCCAGAAATGTGAAGGTGACTTGTCACCAAAAACAAAAAGCTTTTGCAAATGAACATAAGCTTTCTTCACAATTGAAATATCTGGCGACCTGCTTTCCAAGCTAACCCCAATGAAGATGACATGGACTACCTGTTTGATTAATTTACTGCGTAGCTGGTTTTCGTCTGAATACATTCATTAGGTGTACAGGTTGCTTTAATTGTTGACCGCTCAGCCAGAACTGAAGGCTAGAACCTGAATAACAAACCTGGACTGACTGAACAGGTATAACTTTATGCAGAGCAATTGCTTCAGGCAACACAATTGGAAAGAATGGATGCCATATAAAATAGGATTTAAATGATTTAACGATCCCAATATCAACCAGCCCACTTGCAGAATGCCGAGTTAATACATAATTTCCGAGGACATTCAACCCCTCAGAGATTTTGTGCACATAGTTTTCAATCATGGGAAACAAAAGGGAGAAAAGAGGAAACATAATGTGCCTTTAATGTATGTGGCCTTCCACGTGAAACTGATTGCACCATTTGCTAATGGATATCTCATTTTGCTTTTATACAATATAATTTTGGTTGTCTCTGTAAATCATTAGAAAAAAATATCTTCAAGGAGATTAAATACTTACAGGACAGGGTGTGAATCAACAGCAACATTAACCAAGTCTTCACAGGTGAAGCCATCAAATATCCATTCCTATTGAAAGGGACGCAAACACCAAGCTTTTGACAAGAATTCAAACCTCCACAGGTATCTAAAAAAAAGTCGACCTTTTATCTCGATTTCATTTTAGGAAGTGAGAGAAGGTCTTGCACCTACAGCAATGAGGAAAGGAATCATCCATCCACCAAACATACAATGCAGAATTTACAGTGAATAGCTTTCATACTTATGTGTCCAAATTTTTTGAAATGCGATGCATCAAGTTGAATGATGTTGAGTTTTGTAGGCCATCAGCCAGGTCATTAGGTTATTAGTTCATATCCACACAATATAATAGGTGCATAAAGTATATATAAAGTGGCTGATAGCTCACTCACCAATAATGAGGCACAGGACATGAAACAGGTCCAAGTTAGCAGAACAGTAGACGGTAGAAGCTGAAAGGTGCTACAAAATGCTGCACGTTCATAAACCTGAGGTATTGTCATTATAATGCAGGTGTGCACCAATGTTCTGGATGAATGTTGCAGAATCCTACCAAAGGGGCAGCAACCAACAGCGCCCTAAACTACTTTTGAAAAAAAAATCCATATTTTTTTGGAAAAAAAAACAGCTTCTATAGCAATGTGTGCCATTCTTTCTGGTTCTGTGAGGATCCGTCATAGATTGATTGGAAGCATCTGGATACAAATCAAATGAAATGACAGCATCACCATCTCAAGCCATCGTTGCATTGCACTTTTCATGTTGATTTCAGGAGGAAAGGGAGACAAGTGTGACCCAGATACTCTTCCATGGTGGGTGGGGTGGGGGGGGAACTAAACATGTAACGTTATATGCATATGCATCAGTAATCTCATCAATTCGTGTTAAGCAGATGCCATAGAGGGGGTTTAAAACAATCAGCACTAAAGCAAATCGAGTGGAAGCAAAGGCACACAGCAATCCCGAGCCCTTTTAGGCTGCTTTCCTGCAACTGGGTGGCTCCACGTCAGTAACCAGTTGGCTTTAACTCAGTAAAACACATCAACGCACCTGACTCTTCTGTGTTGTCACCCACAGGAGTGGCCGAGGATTCGGGTCCCACCGACACTCCTAATGTCAGGGTTCCTCACTGTGGGCAAAAGGTTACACGTTGTAATTGTGACTTTTTTTTTTTCTCTTCCCCTTCTTGTGCACCGACGTGAAGTGCTCCCGACTCTGTGCCTTTGCTTCACGGGGTCCACCATTCTTCAGACTAACCCCTCAATCCCCTCAGTTGAGCAGTTCAGACCCTATAACTAGTGGTGGAAAGTCAATTCCTTATAGAATTGATTTAGTAACAGCCACCGACATCCTAATATTTTTACACGTTCGTGTTTTAATCGAATAAATCCTCACACCTCCCCCTTAATGCCAGTTACAAGCAAACTTATATTATTATTATTATTATTGTTGTTAACTTTCAATGGAGGTTTTCAAGGTAGAAACAACCTGGAGAGGCACTGGGTGACTCCTGGAGGTACCTCGAGATCAAGGGCTGTCTTTCATATTACTTTTTTTTTTATTGATCCTCTCTCTCCCCACCCAAAAAACACACACACACACACACACACACACAGTGCCGTGAAATATTCCCATTTACTGTTGGTGCGCGTTACCTGGGGATTGGCTTCCACTGCGATCCGAGGTCAGATGGGGAATCTCCAGCCTGAACTGTTGGGATGAGACCCGAGTTGTCAGACTCACCCCTCAACAACTGCGCCTTTGGACCGAAGTGCGTGAGCTCACAATAAATAGTCAGTGACGGCGGATGATTGCGTCCCGAACCAGCAAAGGCGACAGCTGTTTGTGTGGACCACCCACTCCACCCCACCCCACCCCACCCCAGGTCACCAATGACTCCCCTGTCCCCTGAGCATGTGCAGCGTTGGCAATGGTGCAAGTTTGGAATTGCCAACAGCCACAAACTGTGAGCAATTGTGTTCTCACACACACACACACACACACACACACATACATCATCTTCCCAAGGTGGGCTGCATTCTTGATTTCCTTAAAACTGACCGCCCTGTCTGGGACCTCACCTTAGTTTTGATGTCACGTCCAAGTGCCTTGAGAGACTCCTGGTGCGCTGGTTTGAAAAGAGAAGGGAGTTTCTACTGGTGCTCCACCCGAAGGAACACTCCCTCCTCGCCCACCGCATAAAGTTGGTCATTCACTTCACGGCTGCTTGAGACTTTGCTCGGCACCAATTGCACGTTCAACTACAAAACACAGTAAATCCCGTGAAGTGCTTGGAGACGTCCTCCTTGATCCAAAGTATAAGGTTTTGTTTTTGTAAAGGCCTGGTTTATTAAAAAAAAGTGGAATTTTAATTACCTGCTTTTTTTTCCCCCTAAGGTAATAGTTTGCTTCTCTTTCAATTTGTTGAATGGAAAAATACAGCAACCTCAGTATTTGGCCTTCCTCATTTACAACCACTAGGTGCAGAATGGGTAGATAATGCGAGGAAATGAATGAACATGTGTTGAAACCATGGTTGTACAGTAAACCAACAAGAAACAATGCAGTGGTCATCGTAGATAAGTTCACAAAAATGAACAATTTCAATTGTTGTACCTGCAGCAATCACTTAAAACTTCATTCTGGTGTTCAGTGTGGCCTTGAAATAAAAGATAAGGCTGGTGCAATAAGGAAATCACAACAGAAGGTCGAAGTTTGATGTGTAGTCTGTACTGCATCAGCTGATTACACCCAAGCCAGCAGGTTGAGACAAGGGGCACCAGGAAAGAGCAAAAGAAAGTTTGTTACTCCTGATTGATATCTAGTGAGCTGCAAAGAGCATAGGGTTGTTTTATTTTATATTATAGCAGAGATGACAATAAATTCAACTGTAATGGTTGAATAGCCAACCAATTGGGATAAGTCCTTTTCCAGCACAAGCATCTATAGATCTGTATCACAGCCCTCAGCAAAATAAGTAGAAAGGTGCAAGGTAGTTTGAGTTGTGTGCATTGATGGGTATCATTTTCCTATGTAAGCTTACAAGTTGATACCACCAGTTTCCCCAGCTCTTTCACACCAACCATCGAAGATGCAAGCCTTTCCCATTCAGGAAAGCAAATAAAATCTGCAGCATTGCTGATGTGAGTTATGCATAAACCTCTTCTCCATTGATATGCACACTCAACCGCTTGTTATGTAAACATTTGGAGCATCAACAGTTGCATGGAAAATAATTTTGGATACTGCATAAATGTAGAAATTTATTAACTTGTGCACCTTTCATACCATATACTTGGTATTGCTTTCATAACCAATTTATAAGCATGTAATAAAATGAATTATGAAATTGTACTACATTGTCATTTTTTTTTACAAGTAACCAAAAAAACGAGTTTGGTTTCTTTGTTTTATAAAAGATCTTAAATTAATGGAAAGCAACCTTTGTCCTACAGTCAGCAGAGGAAGATCAAACTTTATTAATTGAAACTGCTTGCATACAAAATATATTGCACTTCAACCGAACAATATCAACATAAAACCAAATTATTTGTTTCCACTACTATGTACAGAGAAAAATATTGCCCCTGTTGCAGATTCATGTACTGTAAGGTCAATCTACCTTTGTTAATCATCTACACTAAGTTAACACAGTAGCCCATAGTGGACATGTACATAAACAAAGCTATTCTCCTCCCCAAATACTGTACATACCCAAAAATAAATAACTACAAATCATCAGTTTGGCAACAATCTTGGACATTTTATGCCTTTCAAACAGTACACGGACTGTTTCATTCTGTGCTCACCTTATGCATCAAATGCAGAGGTGTAAAGGAAGTGTTCTCCTCACTAGATTCAAACAATGCCATACAAACTTCAGTGCAAGGATTTCTGATCCTTTACTGTTCAGCTAGATGCATATAGAAGGAAAATCATGAAAAGCATGCATTCTTCTGTAAAGTTTCCCGATATTTAACCACACTTTTATCTACATACATGTATAATACATTACTGTCTTCTGATCATTTAACTTCCCTGATTTCTGCAACTATAGTAAAGTTATCCCCTTCTGGCAAGTTATATTGAAGGCACAGATCATACAATATACTTTTTTTTAAAGAGTTCTAAGTGAAATGAAAATTGTTACATCACAAATGTTCCACTGGCCACCAAAAGGAGGTGAAGTGAACAATGTGCATCAACTATGCACAATGGGTTTTATGTCTTTGGCCTAAAAGGTTTTCCTAATGACATGTAAGCATCTGGTTTGTATGGTTAATAAAAAAAACACAAAATTGAGAACATCACTCTACACGTTTGCATTTTAAGAAACTCCATTGACCAGCACTTGCTGGTTATCTGTTGGACTCTCTGGCTTCTCTTTCTTTTGAGCACGTTCTTTGCCCATGCGCAGTCGAGTGCTTTCACCAAAGACATTTGGACCATGTGAGGTTTTTGTCACGACACTCCTTTCATTATTGCTGTCAATTCTGATCTGAAACAAGTCAGAAAGTGTTCAAAAACAATCGTGCTTAAAATAGTGAAACTTACAACGGTTTAATAATAAGATAAGGCTAATTACAAAATAGTTTGGAATGTCCAATGGAAGACTACAAGTAATAATCCTTGCATTTGATATAGCGTCTTACCACATTTCTAAGCCATGACAAAGTGCTTCAGAGTATACTGTAAAGTGAATTGACTGTATAATTTGTGGGCAAAATGCAGCAGCCAATTGCACATAGTAGTGTCCCACAAACAGTCGGGGAATGAGTGACCAAATTGTTATTTTTTGGAGGGATTATCCATTCAAACCACAGAACTAAACCAGGCAGTTAGTAGAAATATAAAATCAAAGCTATAGCTAAACATTTACATAAATGGCTGTTTTAGTGCTTGTGAGAACTCCAGAGCTCTACATTTTTTATGTTGCAGCTTTTTCCAAATGGAGATAATCCCTGCATCCATTGCAATGTGTTGAGGGTGACCAAATAAAAAAACAGCAAATTTTCAGTCAGTGATTTGTGGGAATCTTTTTTTTTTAAAAAACTGTAACAACTGTTTTTGCTACCTACTTTAAATTATAATCAGGATTGCAACACAATTTGCTTCAAAGCAGTACAATGTAGGTTCATACCTGAGATTCCCCATATAGAGATTTCCCAATCTTGGTGGTGCAGCGAAAGAGGGGAGAGAAAAAAATCCATTTAAAAATGTGCAGGAGAAGAAAGGGTGGGGGAGGGGGGGAATGCTGGAGTTAATTGACACTAACATTTACCTCAGACGATTAAAGATTTCAAATCCCAGTGGGCCTAACGGTGAGCTGTCTCATCTACTGTGGAGAATGCAGAATGTTTTTTTTTTATCAAGTACAATTGAAAGGTTACCTGCAACGATCCATCTGCCATCCTGGCCTTTGAGTCTCTTGAAGAATTACGTTTACGGATGTCTCCTCTCAAGATTTCATCTAAAATGTAAAAACAAAATGCTGTGAAACAGGTTGACTGAACATAATCGATTATTCTGACAATCTGGGAGATTGTGGCACAACTATCTTCCATCAAAACATGAGAGCAACAATGCAATTGGTTCTATTATTCAATTCATTAATTTCTAGAATTTAATGGTTAATGCAATTGGTGCTGTAAATTACAAACAAACAATTAACTTAAAGGAAAATTCCTAAAAAATATATTTTCTGATATGAAGACAGAACAATAAGAATATAAAAAAGTTTACTATAATTAAAATTTAAACAATTGCAGACTTTGAAAAATTGGCCATTTACCTGAAGTTGCAGATGAATTTTTGTTCCCTCCACGGCCACGCCCTCCACCACGCCCACGGCCAGTATTACCACGTCTGCGACTGTCAATCCTGCGTGAATAATTTTCCCTTTCTTCATCTGTTGGAGCCAGTGACCAATCGCTCAGCTCATCTCTGTGCTCCGATTCAGTTTCAGAGGTGTTTGACGCTTCAGAATTATTACCTTGAGGAAGAGCAAAATAAATCAGTTAGAGCGCCTTAAAATCTAATTCAACAAATCCAATGGATTACACAATTAACCGTGCAGAACCAGTCTTGTTTCCACTTATAATATTTATACCTGATTTCAGTTGCTCCAAACAGTACCAAAGCAAAATTAAAGCTTTCCATTTACAAAGGACAGAACCTTCATTCAGTCTTCTCAAAAAGATCAACAGAATACAGTCATATAAGGTTCTGTCTCAACTCCTCCCCCCCACCCACCACAATTCTTATTCTGTCGACAGAAAAAAGGGATGGCCCCGGCTGCAGACATCTCCCCAGCCATATCTAGGATGTTACTTCAGGACTGTACCACAATCAGGTTGCAAGATTGCTCTCACGTTCACCTTTCTGAAATATAAGGAGTGCTCTCTACTACAAAATAATTTGGATACCAGCCAAAGTGGTTTGGACACCAGCCAAAGTGGCAAAGCCTGCACGAGGGCTGGGAATGCATGTTGCGGCCGGCGTCCTAATTCTCAACCTTCTGATATCTTATTTTTGCTTTATTTAGTTGCAATTATCATTTAAAAACCACATGTAGTTCTGGCCCTATAAATCTTGCTGATTGCTAAATTGGCTCAATTGTAACGTGAAAATAAGTAGAACCTGATGCGTAGCCTGGTCCTCGCCTGCCACGTCCTCGACCACTGTACGGTCTGCCACCACGCAAATAACTTGTGCTGTCATCAGTCGCATAACCTCTTTCTTTATCTGACCGACTTGCAGGGGGTCTTGAACCTGCACCCATCTGTCGAAGTTGTTCATCTATTTGTAATCTTTCCATGCGCAGTTGGTCAACTTCCTGTATATAAATAAAACACACAGACCTTTACAATGGCCGAGTTCTTCACTTGTGCTTGATTAAGAACTGCCAATCCGAAGTCCAAATTTAAGTAGAATGGCTACCGTCTACATTGATTATAGAGTAAATAATTGAAAATGGACACCTTTCTTAATTGTGAAAGGGAAGACATATGAAGGTAAACAAAACTGCTTAGTATCCAACAGGATCTGGAAAAAAAAATCAACATTGTATGAACCTGAACCTCACCTCTACTGATCGTCAAGATAGTTATAATTTATGTTCAAGTCAGGATTGTTCAGATCAAGCATCGTTGCTCCAAGTAGATTAAATAGCTTATTCTATGGAAGCAGATTCTGACAAGATTCAGGTAGGTCAAGTTCAGAAAGCTACTGCATTAAACAACTAGGCAGGAGACCAGTAACAAAGTCTTGCTTTGCCGGTGAACTAATTACTCATATTTTGAAAAACATACTCATCTGGATAAACCTTCAAGGAAACGATGCTGAGCAGACAGAAGATTAATTAGGGGATTATTTGCTGATGGTAGCCATTTTACTTCTTGGTATTTTACCGTTTTGGACCTTGAAGTGCAGAAGCTAGAAGCCCATAATGAAACCTACCTTGGACTAGAAATGTTACTCAAGTTCCTGAGTGAAGTTGACTCATCATTTAATTTCATGACAGTCTGTGCAGGCTTTAATGTCACAAAATTACTCATGACTGGCAAAGCAAGCATAATATGCCAGCCAGAAGATGTTTCTTTTATCAGAGAAATACCCATTCACACTTGCAAGAGTTAGACACTGTGAAATCAATCAAATAAATTGTCAGTACTTCAGTCCAGTTTGTTTATTAATTTTGTAGAACTGAAATGGACTAAGTCAACAATGAAGTAAATAGCATCAATGCTATGTTTCAGTTCTCTTGTATTGCCAACTTCCGCACCATACTTCACCCAATTCCTGGATATAAAATGCAAAGCCTTCAGCAGCAAAAAAATGAATTGCAACAAGGATTTGTTTTTAGTTATCTCAGACAGTAATCGTGACCTACAGTTTACTCAGTTCACGTTATATCATTTCACATTTAATGCAATAGAGACATTGTAAAAAGGGAAATTGGTAAAGAGATGATTTTAGTGGTTCTTTTTAGAGACTGCAAATTAACGGATTCAGATAGTATCATTAGCATTGTTCCCTTAGAGAGAAGCTTCATCAGTTCTTACCTTTAGGTAGTTCAGGTGGTAGTCCAACAGAACACGTGCATTGCTTATGCTTTCCTTTGTTCCAACAAACACAAAAGGAACCATGCCCTGCAAGTGATGTTTGGATTAAATATTTAAACCTCAGTTTATCATCTCCATTTCAAATAAATGTTCTTTGGGATATATTTAAATTGTAAGTGAACATAAAACTGTTCTAGAGCATTAATACTGAAATAGTGGATACAACTGTGACTTCACAAATAATGTTGCTCTAACCAGCTCAATGTTGGAAAAACATTCTAAGTATACCCATATAATAATAACGTTCATCTCATTTTACGGCGCTTGGACAATTAATCAAATTTGTATTAATTGACAATTTAAATCCATTCATACTTACAATTTTTTTATTTTGAAAACAAATTAAATATGATTTTTTTTATGAGTAAAAACAGGCTAAGGGCTGCTAATACAGCACTTGCCAATGATTCCTCCAGCCTAAATATATTTAACTGCTGGAAGCATTAATCCATTAATTGGATGAACATTTAATTCAATTCATGTTTGCAGAGTAGATGGAAAAGTTGACGAATGTAAAAGTTCACAAGTGCTTTTCAATGTTATTCAGCTGATAAAGTCTGTTTTTTTCACAAGATGTCTGTACATTGAAATGGTAGAAGAAAACTCCATGCTTGGAATTCCATCAGGTAGATATCATTTGAATAAGGTACATTTTTGTATACTCAACTACTCTACATTATGCATTACATTCAATCAACAAAAATAAACCTACCTCTTCCCGAGGGATCTTTTTATCTCCATCACCTTCAATTCTCACTCGGACAACTCCAGATTTGTCCACAATTTCTTGTATGAGTTTCCCATTTTTTCCTATCACTTTTCCTGGAGAAGTAAGAGAGAGCATTAGTATCAAGCATTGAACTCAATTTTAAATGTAATAAATTATGCTGATTTAAGGACTTACTGCAGGCTTACCTACTAAATTCCTTGGTACTTGAACAGAGTCTTCTGTAAATTCAAGGTAATTCCTGGCTTGCTTGACTGCCTCCTGGTCCTATAAATCAGATTGATATTAAAGGAAGAATGTTGCCTAGAGAAAACATTAATTTTGACTAAATTAATCATATTAATTTTACTATTTTCTTACAAGTATATACCAAATTAGGTGTACAATGTGCTTTTTTTATGCCACTGCTCCTCAAGTAGCCTGCTTGGACTTTAAATGCAAAATGGATCGTTTCATGATCACTTGGGCATCTTGCTCCACAAATCCAGAGCCAGCTAATACTGAGCTCCAAGTGCAACAACTCAATCAGCTTAGCGGGACTTTGACCAACCATTGCCAAGAAGGGTCAAGATTTCAACTGGACCAGTGTTTGAGGTTAACATCAAAAGCTAACATCACCATTGATTGAAAGCAGCTTATCTTCTATCTTTCTCCTTTAAAACTCTTTCATGGACAGTTTGGATAGCTATCAGCAATGCTAATTACACCTTGAGCAGCGCTTAAAACCATGCTAAAGCATCAAATCACAAATGTGGAGCTGCATGCAAACTGACCGGATTTGCCAACAATAGAGAAAAAAAACATGTACACCAGTTGATTGCCAAAAACGTTATAGGGCAAAACAAAAGAAAAATACTTGCCACTACTCTTTACATCAATACAATCTATTCCTGTTTAGATAGGCAAATGATGCACAACATTGGTTTGCCTACCTAATGAACATTAATATTATGATATCCTCATCAACCATCATGAAAAAAAACTATTCTCATGTCTCGACTACAAACCATCAGTTGCACGAGGCAAATGATACAGAGAATATTACTTCAACATTAGACCAAAGTACACAGCATCATTTTCTTAAATTTTTTGCCTACACAATCTCTTTTGAAACTTTTTGCTGCTTTCTCACATCATGCTTCTGCCTCAAGTTAAAAAAGACCAGGGTGCAAAACTCTCCACATCCAAAAAGTGTCACTTGCTAATCCACCAAGGTAATGTGCCATGAGGCACATCTAATCACATTAGTTTTTTTTTACTAATTCTGTAAACTATTCTCAGCAGCTTCAAAACAAAACAAATTGGTAAAACTTACCCAATGAGATCAGGTCGATTCAAATATGGGGATTTGCTTTCAACTTTCTATTTAGAAATTCAAAATTCTACAGTTGGAGCTGTTACATGGACTTTTCATGTGGGATCCTATTGGATGTTACATATTTACTAAGACTTTTCAATGCAATTTCCTTTGAAGACTTAATATTGAATAAAAAGGTTTACATAATAGTTGATCTATTTAGTGATTTGTTCATTGAAAAATAATGAGTCATTGAATTTTAAAAATAAATGAGACTCCAATTTAAAGCCACCGTCCATATTGACATTAAAACACATTACTAGCTAAAATATAGTATTCAAAAAGAACCCACCTCACCGTAGATGTGGAAAGTGCAGGTCTCTTCATCCAGTTCAATTGCAGTAACACCTGACACTTTCCTCGCTTGCTGGATGTTGGCACCGTGAGTTCCGATGGCAAGACCCATGAGATCTTCGCGAACAATAAACTGCTCGTGGAAACGTGATGCAAGCTGCCGAGAGCTCTAAAGTCAGAATAAATAGGACAGTTGTCAAATACAGTGCTGTACCATTCATGATAAATAGCTATGCAAAATCTAAAACATTTCATTTTAAGTTCAGTTTTATTTGTTGTTCAAATATATTCCTAACAGGAGTAAGAATTCAAATGTCTTAAATTTTTTCTAATCTTGCCTTTTCCAAAACTTTTTGTGAGCCTCAAACCATGAAAGGTAATGTTACAGGTAAATACTATCCATAGACAACCAGCATGCCTTTTGTTCAAAGTATTTTTTTCTGGAACTTTGTTCAAATTAGAAGTTATTAATCTGAAACCATAATATTCACCTCTAGTTGTTTGCTGGCTTCTTCATTCCTCAACATCAAAGTTAGCTTTGTCCGAATGCTTCTGAAGTGCATGTCACTGAGCATACTTGCTCGCTTCGCTGTCATTTCATTGGTGGACTGCATTTTTGCAAAGAATGAAACAGTCACATAATTAAACAGTAAACATGAATAAAAGGATTGTGGGAAAAATGGATTTACCAAAACCATGTGAAAAATACTGTACTTACCAAAACTACTAATTGATTGGATTCTGAATCGAAATATACACAATAAGCTCCAATAGCTTTTTTAAAATCCTTATGTGAAGCTTCATTGGTACACCTACAAATCATTGAAATATACAACTGGAGACACTTGCAGAAGACAATTAAGACAAAATAAGTACTATTTTATTAAACACTATATTCCATTTTAGACTAATGCAACCCTTTTTGTTTGTGGTAAATTTAAACAATACTTACGAACGCCGCAGGTCATCTGGGACATCAAGTTTTATTTTATGAAATGTGTTTTTTGTTGCAGGTTTATTTGGATTGATGGGCCGTAGTCGTTCCACTGTAACTATTTCATTGAAAGTAGCATCGCAGACAGCGTACTCTATAACATAAAACTGAAAATATATATATTTTAAATGTTTATTTCAATTCACAGGATTCCACGTGTAAATTATGAGCACTTTTATTTCTAGATAAACATTTAAAACTGTGGTTGTCAGTGGTATAGTTTGAACACCACACATTATTGAAGCAATGCAGGATATGAACAATCTTCTAATCTATTTACAGACAAGTGAAACATGTGAAAAGGCATGCTGGTTGTCTATGGATAGTTTCACGAGCCGGCAAAACACAATTAATCTGATATCCATTTCTTTATTGAATATGACGTGAGATGAGCACATATGAATAATATATTAAAATAAAATTGTAACATTTGAATGTGGAGTCCTGTAGCTCAGTGGTTAGGGCACTCGCTTTGCAAGCGAGAGACCCGAGTTCAATTCCAGGCAGGTCGAAACCTTGGGCAAGTTTCCTTACTCCACACAGAGCCTAATAATAATCCCTTCAAAAACCCAAAACAATAATAATAAATTGGTCGTTTTCAATCCACGACTGTTTGTGGGACATTGCTGTGCGCAATTGGCTGCCGCGTTCGCCCACAAATATACAGTCAATTCACTTTACAGTGTGTTCTGTGAAGCGCTTTGGGACGTCCTCCCGACGTGAAAAGCGCTATATCAAATGCAAGGATTATTATTATTATTATAGTACAATGGCATATTAATCTTAAGATAAGGGTAAAATTCTAAAATCTTGTATTATAAAATTCAAAAAGCAAATCAGCAAAATATTTGGTCAATGAAATGTCTTACTTCACCCTTCATCATTCTAACTTTTGCCAACCACCAGCCACAAGGTTCTTTTTCATTTGCTCGAGAATAAACCTGAGAAAGGAATTTTAAAATCACAATGACTATTTATTAGCTGGAATCAAAAAGAAACATTAGTTGGGCTTTTCATATTAATGTATTTAACAAGTTTAAACTTGCAACTTCTCTAATAATATTTTGCCACCAGTTCACATTTTTTTTGTTCAGTTAGGAATTTAACATGTACAGAAATCCATCATCATGCTTAACAGTATCCAAACCAGACAAAGTTCTGCACATGCATAGTCCCTATGCATCAACATTTCACTTGTCTGTGCACACTGTCTCCCCCACTGGGATGCATCCTGTTTACCTAAATTCCAGAACATTATAAGTGCAGGTTGGCAAAAGCCAAAGCTTAGGGACTCCAGAGTGCACATTGGGGTTCTACTTTAACCAGTTAAAACTGCAGTTTGCTATTGGGAACAATGTCTGGTGGCAAGTCTCCTGACGATTGTCCAGATAGGGCCACCCTGCCTGTTAGGGTTTTGTCCTTTTGTATCGATTTGGGTTGCAAATGCAAAAAATGTATTTTTTAAGCATAATAACCAACATAATAGCTAAAGAAATAATTGACTTTTCATAAATTAATGGAATATTTAACGTGTTTATTATTGTAAAGTATTATGAGGTTGTAGACTTCAGTAATTTTCAGAGCTACTAAGATTAACAAACCCCTAATACACTGATAGACATTCACATACCTCGACATCATCACCTTCATTAATATCTTTATTATATCCTGCTGGTGGTGGAAATCGGACATCATGGAAAGGAATTTGTCGCTCAGGTTGCCAGCTGAAACCAAAAATTAAGAGCATGATTCAGAAAACAATTTACCAGGAGTAGGGAATAAAATCCACTCAGTTTGTTTTGTTTAGATTCAGGTTCAAGTCTCACTTAGATCATTTTCATACATTTCCTACCTTTGTGCCAAGCCTGTGTCCTATTCTTGTTGAATTAGTGATCCAAATGTTTCAATTCAATGGTAAAGTACATAATAACTGAATTCAAAGTATTAACATGTTTTTCCTCATTTTATTTTAGTCCTAACCAATATTCTGAACACAGTCTACTAGGATTTAATAACAAAGTTAATTTATTCTTGATGCACAGAGATCCTTGAAACTACTCCACGCTGGGGATGCTTATTTTCTACCCAATAGGATGTCTCTTGAAATTGTATGGATCCAGATCCCTTATCAGGCAGTTGTGCACCCCAGTTTCCTACTGAGATTCTCGCTATCAGTGAATTCTCTAGGAATGGCTGTTGGTAAGGAGTCTTGGCTTTCTGCAGTGATATGAAAATTGATGCTTTTATAAAATCAAAAAAAATCAAGATAAGTACTTTAACAGACTCGAACACTTAGAATTCTTAAAAACTCATAAAATCATAGAACATTTATAGACATTCAGCAAAACTGGCAGTGATGTTGCAAAGGATCAACGGCTCTTGCATGTCTTGGCAATGTTGTAAAGGATTGATTCTAGACCAGTGTTGGCTAGTATCATCTCATTCAAAAGTTCTCATAGCTTTGAATGTATTTAGGTAGCCTGTCCACTAGGGCTAGAAATGTCAGTTCTCGTTATACTATTCAATGCAAATGCTTTGTCTATGCAAACTCCCTGTTGGTCAGCCTCCCCAACTTCTCTCAACAGACTGGAGATCACCCTGCAGCCCGTGTCCTCTCCCACACCAGGCACTGTGACTCTCACTCCATCCTCACCCGGCTCCACTGACTCCCCATCACTCAAAGGATGCAGTTTAGTTCAAGATCCTGGTCCTCACCTTCAAAGTCCTCCATAGCCGTGCTCCTCCCTACCTTTGTGATCTCCTAACCCCCTACCAACCAGTCCCCTCCCTCCACTCAGTGGGTTCCAGCCTGGCGGGCGGACCTTCAGCCTCTCTGCCGCTACATCTGGAACTCCACTCCACAGTCTCTCTGCCTCGCGCCCTTCCTTGCCTCCTTCAAGACCTGTCTCAAGACCCTCCTCTTCAACCATGCCTTCGGTCCCCCACCTACCCTCCTGATCCCAACCAACAGCTCGGGTGCGGATCCCTGACTGTCCAGCGCCTTTGACGTCCTCCTGACGTGAAAGGTGCTATACAAATGTAATTTTTTGTTGTTGTTGATCTAAAGCTGCATGATCCCAGTGGCTTCATCATTTTCTCATACGTGCTAAAAAAAAAGCTTCTGGAAGATTTGAAACATTCCTGAGCATCAAAAATGCATTAGGTGGAACACAACTGTTTGTTTTCGAACAGATGATGCCAACTTTACTTAACACCAGAAACCTGAGCTGATTGAGTTATTATATTTCTGATGGGGAATTCTAATTTCTCTAATTTCTGCTACCAATGTTATGTTCTTAGCCCTAGAACTCCAAACTAATGCTCCAAACTCGCATTGCTCACTAAGTCAATGTTGCTACTGTATAATAACGTACCTTATTTTGGCAATGTTTTTGCATTAATATTTCAGTTTATGTAAAGCTGGCTGCTTAATGCTTCATGCAATTAGAACTCTCAAAAGACAAGAATGTGTTATAATCCATTAAGTGACATTAATACTCAAGTCTTTCTATTACTGCAGTATAAATGATGCAAAAAATGTTCTCCTCTAAGACTCAAGTCACTTGTAACCTATCTGTCCACAGACACAAGACCTGTAAGTCACCCCCTCCCCTCTACCAGCTCCCTGCGTATTACCACTGTTCTATTCATTGTTTACTGTGCATAATCCAAGTTTGGCATTGGACTTACCAATAGTTTTATGCTACAAAAATTGATCTGATTACCTTCAAAGGTAGCACTAGTCATCAGCCATATGTGCAACTTGTTTAATAGAATTTTCTTGCTAGATCATGCAAGCATTCCTCATCATTTAACTCAGTCTACTCTAACTTTTTAGCTGTCCATATGGCTGAGAAAGAATTTTATTACTTTAACAGCAACATTTGGTTGTATCCTCCAGAGAGAAACCAAGCTTATAAGACAAAGTATGTTTATGATGGTGTTACTGAGTGAGTCAAGCATATTGGAACTTTTTTTTAAAAAAATCACTTCTGGGGCTAAAAACCTTAATCATGATTGCAGAAAGTTATTAACATTAGTACTTGCCATCAGAAATTTAAATCACCACAATCAGCTGAGAAGTTTATTGGTCTTCAGTAGCCAGAAGTAAATCAGATGCATCAACCAGAGCACCTGCTGGCAAATAAATGTGATTGAAGTTTATCTTAAAATGACTGAAGTATATTTTTGCATTACGCCTCTAGGAGTTCATTCCTTGCAAATAAAAATATAGTGGGGGCATGCAGCTTTAATTTCCATTCTCAACTGAAACTACGCATTTCCTTCAATACTGCTGACTGAAAAAAAGATTTTGACAAAAAGGCATGGAAGAAAAGAACTTACTTGTTCTCAAAAGCAACAGTCAACGATTCATCATGCACATCCTTCACAATAGCCTGCAACAATTAAAAAGGTAAATTGGCAAAGCAAAAAAAAGTAAATGAACATTTGTGGAAAATATACATTTTGATACAAAGATTGCCATGACTCATATTATCCATTTCTAATTTCTAAACACCTAATAAATAACGTAGTATGAATCTAATAGCCTGAAAAAGTATTGTAAAATTTCCATTTTAAACATAGCTAGAAATACCTATTGCAGTTAACAGCATTCACAAAAATGTCACTTAAATTTGAACTTCTAGAATTAAAAATTTCAACATAATGCAAAATAACAGTTCATCTTAAAATCAAGTTCCCAAAAACGTTTTTTTGAATAAAAAGTGATGATTTATGAAACAACGACAGATCGTCAAGTCATTTTGAAACAAACCCATTTTTCCCCCACTTGATAAGATCTCACTATACATGCATCAACTTTGGTCAACTTGATCCAAGGCCTATGTAAATATTGTTCTGCCTGTAGATACTTTACAATGGTTTGATTTCCAATTCTTCCTCTCCAGAGGGGAGAGGGGCCCATCTGATTTCCATATGACAAACCTCCATCCAATAAAATGTAAATTCAATGAGAAGTGAAGGCAGGGAAGAGAAAAAGAGACTTAAGATATGGTAAAGAAAACATTGGATAAAGAAGATATTTTCTTCAGAAAAAGCAACCCATAAAATTACATTGGAAGATTCAACACAAAAACAGGCCACTCAGCCCAAGTAGTCCATGATGGTAAAAACTGTCAGTGTACGATAACGTAACAAATTTCAATAGTAACCACTAAGACGTATAGAGAACCTTAGACTAGAATCTCATTAAGATAATTCACTCTTATTAAAACCAATTTTGGCTAATACACAGGAGTTGCAATCTAGTTACAAATATTGCATGTGGGAACTTTTGTTCTTTCACAACTGTACAGGCTAGCAGAATTCAATATTTACAAACTCTTTAATTCCAGGTTGTGTATACCAAATATTAAACCCCACTGTTATTCACAGCATAACCTATAATCTAAAAATATATTCCAACAACAAATTACATTTACATTCTATTGTTTATAATACAAATTTGTCAAAAAGATCCAGCCAAATGTGATCGAAAATATAATACTACCATGACAACCAGAATATTCTAGAAAATGTCTAAATTACTATCCTGCTCCAGATTACAAAAGTCATTGTTATGGTGATTACAATCTAAATCCTCACATTTTGAGAACTGTGGTATTTNAAAAAACCCACATATTAAATATGGTTACTGTTGTGGTACTCCTTACTTAGAAATACGAACAAAGGAAAGTCCAGATTCATGCAAAACATACCGTATCATTAATTTCACTTTACTCATTTTTGGGGCACAATATTTCAATTGATACTCCTTGAATCCCAAATGTAAATCAAGTAAACATTCCATTATTCAAAACTGGCCTCCTATCTTACACAACTCTTTATTTTCTTCCTCTTCCCTCCACTGTATCCCATGTAGCATGTGTTCATTTTGGGCACAGATATTTTTTGAAGGAGCTAATTAACAAGCCTAACAATTTTTGTTGGTAGTGTGTTCTACATATCTACTATATTTTGTGTGTGTGTGTGTGGTGTGTATGTGTGTGAGTGGAGGGGGGGGGGGGGAAGAAGAATTACTTCTAATCTCTAATCCTGCTTTAGGCTCTCATCGTTTTAAACACCAATCATATCCTCTTTCAATCAACTTGGCCTAGTGACACTGAAATAGAGGGATAAAACAAAGGCTTCTTTTGCCTATATTCTCCACATTGCAAATTCCCTATTTCACCTCAGCTATTAGAGAAGGAATTTAACTAAAAGACAGGCTCAACCGTAAATAGCTAAACATAAATTGCTAAGCAACAACAGAAACTTGAGAAAACATCACTTGCTTTATTCCCTCAAACTTGAGCTTCATTTAAAACTTATGCTTTTGTTTCTCAGTTTGATGCCACATGCCCTCCCCAGTTGTGCAAGAGCTTCTCCAGTACAATCATTCCAGTTCTGATAAAAGGATCAACCAAAACATTTTTACCCTCACTTTCCCTCAAACAAAAAGAAAAAAAATGTTTTTTCCTACATCATAGAGTACACTAGTTAAAAGCACAATATTTGCCTTTGAGCTTGACCAAAGCATGCCCATTAATAAAAACTGTCCATCAATAAACTCTGTAGTTTCCTACAGAACCTGTAGCTACTAACATTATATAACAGACAATCAATAAAGGGAACCTCTCTGATACTTGAGTAAAGTTTCCATTGCAATTTTCAGTTTGTTCTAGTTTTTAGAAAATACATAACCAACGGTGTTCCTTTTCTTCTCAGGAAATGTTATTTGCTGCTGACAAGGAAGTAAAGGTTCTAGAATATTTTTTCATACAGAGGTTTTATTCATTACAAAATTTCCTATTCTATTGAACCTCCGAATTCAGATTCTAAACAAGCCCAGCTCGAACAGTAATTTCTGTCTATAGGAGATGACAAAATGCTAAGAACAATTAACATACAGTAATTGATATTTTAGAACACTGTTCTTAAAATTTTCTTTAAAATAGCTCCTTGCAGAAGTCTACAGGATTCAGAGATTAGAAGCACTGCAATCAGAGAATGTACCCTTAAATTCTGTGTTTGAGTGATCAATTGGTTTATTGGTACCATTTTGTTTCAGGGTTATAAGTTATGTTACCATTTTCAAACATTTCCTTTGCCTATTTGTACTGTAGTGGGAGAAATAACTGGACTAAATGTTTTGTTCTATCAAGCTTCTTTAGCCATAAAAAAAGTTGAAATACCATTTAAAAACACATATTATGAATGAATTTCATTTTATAGTGCAACAGATCTATTCCATATTGGAATATGGTTAAACTGCAAAACAAAGCATGTGATAAGAAAGTGGATCCTGGCCACCACATCAACTGCCTTTGTTAGAAGCCAATCCCACATACCCACTGATGAGAAAATAAAAATCTCAGTTTTTTAAAATATATTTTACATCTACCTTTACTCTCATGGTTTAAGTCAGTTAATTATGCATGTTCATTGCCTCATCGTTCCAAAATATCATTTTTGTCCTTCCCCCACAAATAAATGTTTTTAAACGAAAAAAAACATTCAGCTCATGAAAGTAGGTGAAGGAGTGCTGGAAATGTCAACCCCCGGGGAATTATAGGCCCAAATGTTTTGACAAGTTTGTCCTCAGTCTGAATTAAATGATGGTACGGACGTTCAAAAGGACTAAACAAATAAAAATCCAATTCCATTAAATGGCTTTAAATTTAAAATACCAGAGAAACGAACCGTGTTTCGGGAAGGCCTTTGCTTAGCAGTTCCAGATCCTGCAAACAAAAATGGAGCGTGCAGGCCAACGTGGGCAGCGCACAATAATAATAAAAAAAAACCCATAAGGGAGACGAAACAATGAAGGCATTAAAGAGGAGGCGCAAAAAAAAAACATCCTCTCGCTCGACGTCTTGTCGGGAGGAAAGCGTTTCCACGGGAATGAGACCAACCGGGGCCAAAAGATAGATCAGCGCCGATGAATGAAGACGATTTCTCTTTCTTTTGCACAGATCTACAAACTAATCCACCGTGGAAAGGAGGGAGGGAGAGGAGAGGAGGTGGAGTGGGTGAGAGAGAAAGAAAGAAAGAAAGAAAGAGAAAGAAAGAAAGCGGTGGGGTTGGTTTTCCAAGCTCCACTCGGCCTTGGGTGCACAGTACAATGGGATCTGTGCACCTCCCATTTACAGGCCCTGTGTGGTCGAATCCCGACTCCATTTAAGAGACAGACATCAAACACTTCAGCTCGGCCGGGAGAAGGCGCCGCCGCCGCCAGCACCACCACCACCACCGGCGGCGGCCCCGCCGAGGAAACCAATCTCGCTGCCCGTTTAAAAACAACAACAACAAAAAAAAAACTATCGTGCGAGAGAAAAGGAGAGAGGCAGAGAGAGGGGGGCGTGGAAAACTCGACCCTGCTTCACCCCCTCCTCCTCCCAAGCACACGAGGACTAAATCCTCCCCCCTCTCTCTCCCGCTCTCTCTCTCTCTCACCCTCCACTCGGGAGTGAGTGTTACGCAAGAGAGGAAGGAGGAGGGTTAAAGACCCCGAGAGTTCAACTCAAAACCCTGGCCAGCGGTTTACCTTGTAAAAGGCCCCATTCGAGCCGCGCACCTCCACCATTAAATCCTCCATCTTGGCTGGCGAGCGGTGCGGTGCACTCTGGGTCTCTCCCGCGAAAGAGTTGGGAGGGGGAGGGGGGAGGAATTATTTTTTTCAAAAAAAAAGTCCCGCCGTTTTAACGGCGCCGCCGCCGCTGCCCGTCGGTCGGTCAGTCTTTCAGACCTACACGCAACCCCCCCCCCCCCCGCCCCCGCCCCCTCACCTCCCCCGACTCTTTCCCCGCCCACTCCGCGCAGACGTTAGTCAATCAGTCAGTCAGTCGGTCGGAGCGACACGCGCATGCGTACCCCCTCCTTCGCCAGTCGTTCAGGGCGACCTGCGCATGCGTGCACCCGTCCCTCCGCCAGTCGGCCGGGCCTGCGCGCCCGGAGCCTTCTCTCTTTGTCTCTCTCTCCCCCTCCCTCCCCTTATTAAACGGCGTTCGACAGGCGTTTGAGAAAGAAACCGAACGCTGAGGCCGACCACGAGCGATCGGGACTTCTTGTTATCGTCGTCGTCGTCGTCGTTGCTGCTGCTGCACCTGTAAGTTGTCGTCGTCGTCACCAACGTCAACGGCGCGAGGCAGCGCCAGCCAACTGGGCACGTGACTGACTGACGTGACTTGACTGACTGTGGAGGTGGGTGGGACGGTCCAATCGGCGAGCGCCGCCGGCCGCTGGGCTGCCAGTCCATCATCCGGGCGGGCCAATCGGAGCGACGGAGAAGGCGAGGTCCCTCCCACCCACTGACCGACGGACCCGCCTCCCCATAGTAATGAGAGTAGTGATGGTAATAATCCTCGCATTTATGGCGCCTCAAAGCGCTTCACAGAACACGCTGTAAAGTGAATTGACTGTGCGTTTTGCGGGCGAGACGCGGCGGCCGCTCGCGCCGGGCGGCGTCACCACAAACAGTGGCGGGATTGAGGTGAATGATTTATTATTACTGTTTTTTTTTGGGGGGGGGTGGGGGAGGGGATTATACCCCCCTCCCCCTCCCGCTCGGAAAAGCGATAATAATAATAATAATAATAATCCTTGCATTTGATATAGCGCTTTTCACGTCGGGAGGACGTCCCAAAGCGCTTCACAGATCACACTGTAAAGTGAATTGACTGTATATTTGTGGGCGAACGCGGCAGCCAATTGCCCCACAAACAGTCGTGGATTGAAAATGACCAATTTATTATTGTTTTGGTTTTTGGAGGGATTATTATTAGGCTCTGTGTGGAGTAAGGAAACTTGCCAAGGTTTCGCCCTCTGCCTGGAATTGAATTGAATTGATCCACCAAGTCGCCCGAACGCCTTGCCGCGAGGTGAACCGAGGAGTAAGGAAACTCGCCCAAGGTTTTCGCCCCCTTTAGAGGGTTAGAACAGTGGCTTCCCACCCCCGACCCCTGACCCCCGCCCACAGCGCCTCGAGCAAGTTATCTCGACGTGATGTGACGTGACTTACAGGCGACCAAACCAACCCACCTCCCGGCTGTCGGAAGCAATGCCAGTGGTGGGCGTTGGTCGGCGGAGTCGACGTGAGTCCGTGCGTGTGCGGGCGAGCGTGCGTTTTTATTTCTCTCTTCCCCCGACTAAAGTTTCGGTTGGACCGTTTCAGGAAAACGAGATCCCGAGATAGTGACTATGCCACTCGCTCCGGGGACCAGGTTTCGTATATTTTTAAAAGAATAACAACAAAAAAAGTTTCTTTTTGGGGGGGACCTTTTTCTTTTGTTCTCTTCGTTATCACGATCCTACGGTGACGATCCTCGCGTTTGCTACGGCGCCTCGCCACTGTGTCGAGCCGCCTCGAATCGTTTCGCATGATTTACTGCCATGAAGCGAGTGACCAATTTTATATGGGGATTGTTGGCCAGGATATCAACTGGGAGAGAGATTAGACTTTTTTTGGGGGGGTGGAAAACCCTATGCTCTACTTCACGTGTGCTTTCCCCTCAACAAAAATAACAACGTTGAAGTACGCACTTGGGCTGGTTGTGAAATATTTTCCCTCTTCAGCAGAGTAATGATGGGATCTGTTTGCCTGCAAAATCACTATATTTCTGCAGGATAGAAAATATCATGTGAAGTGCTTTGAGACAGTTTGACAACATGATATGGGGCTATATCAACTGCAAGGATTTATGTTCAACGTGAAGAATGGTAGCAGCTCATTTCTGACCATGTGTGGTGGCCACATTCCCAATATGTGTGTCAAACAAAGCTATTTGGGTTGGAATTTTGGATTGTCGCAAAATCGTCATTCGATTGCCACCAAATCCCCTCTTAAAAAAAAATCTATAATGATCATAAGTGTAAGATTTCTGTTGTACTACAATATACGCTTTTAAATAAAATGTTTTAAACAATCACAAAGAGTTGAGCACATTTTACTTGCACCAATCCAAGATTTGACCCCACCATCACTACAACGGAATCCACAATGTGGGTTGAGCTGAATAGCCTACACAAAAATTATACTCAGCTTCTTGCCGGGGTAAGTTAATTATGAAAGTATACAGAATCATTCTGACATCCTTTTCACTGGATGTTAATTATATAATTAAGGGCTCTTCTGTGCATTTGATCATGATAAGTTCATGAACTTTAAACCCACCCACATATTATATGTTATATATTATATATGTTATATATACATATTATTTATGACATATCAAGTCATCTAATTTTCTCTGCTGATTAAATTAGAAGCTACTGCATAACTAACAAATGTTGAGAACCTGGTTTTCCAACAGTACTCGCTTGGCTGTGGTCTGATTTTTCCTAAAAAGTTGAGACCATCAGACTTGAGATTTTCATATTTTATCAGTCCATTTATGTTTTTCAGCTGTTTGTCACAGTAATGATTTTCTTTGTAGCAAGAAGGAAATTTGCTTTCACCAGCATTTCAGGCAGCACCTACTAAATAAATCAATCACCAATAATGTTCTTCACATCTTTACCTTTGTCAATCACCTACACAGCCAGCAGCGAGACAGCTGCAGCTAGTGCCTAATTTTTTTGTTCTGATTGTGAGACCAGCTCATCCCAATGATTGACAAGGTCTTATTCCATCACATGTGTGCGCTGTTTTAATTGGATCTGATAGGGTGAGTCTCATAATATACATCATATAACATCAACATACTCAGTGTGTAAGACATAGATATCTCCTATCGAGAGATTTGAGCTCCGTGCCTCACCAATTTTATTTTCAATTTTTTTTGGTTCCCTCCACACGCACATCATGTATGAAGACATATTAGCGACTCAGGAGATCCAGTGACTTATGTGCTGGGCCAATAGAAAAGTGCGGTTGCAGTTTTTCTTCAGGATCCGCTATAAACAGTGCCCTCCGCTATATAATGAACTTTCTGGGCCCAGACCTCCCGTGCTGTTTACGCAACGTCACTGTTGATGGGGTGGCCAGAAGCAGTCTCTGTGAATGTGTCTCCTCTATGTGTTTGTGAGTGTTTGTATGAGTGTATCTGTGTCTGTTTCTGTGTGTGTGTGTTTGTGAGTGTCTGTGAGTGTCTCTGCTCTATGAGTGTCTGTGAGTGTCTCTGTGAGTGCATTTGTGTCCCTCTCACCTCGGTACGTATGCATTTGTGAGTGTGTCTGTGTATTTCATCTATATGTGTGTGTGTGTTTATGCATGTCTATGTGAATGTATGTGTGTCTCTCCTGTCTGTGTGTGTGTATGTCTCTTTGTGTCTTTGAGTGTGTGTTTGTCTCTGAGAATATGTCTCTCTCTGTGAGTGTGTCTCTCTGAAAACTGAAAATGTGTGTGTGTGTGACTCGGGGTGAGGAAGGTGAGGGTTATATTCTTTTAAGAGAATTAGCGTTTCATTTTGTGGTAAATTTGTTTCAACTACAGTACGGAGTTTAGTAAAATGCTTCACTGTTTGATAACACAATTCTGCAAGTGTTCGTTTCTCACCATTATGAACTCTAGAAAACCTTTGAATCATTGACAAGTTTAAAGGAAGTGCTGCGAGAATCTCAGAAGAAAATAGAATTGCAGAATCGTATAAACCTATTACTGCTTTCTTACCTGACAGTACAATCTATTTGGCACAACTTCCAAATGCCTTCTGCTACCTACAATTGATTTTTTGCATTGAATGCAGACATTCAACTAAACAAAGGGAAGAAGAAAATCCAAGCTTCTTTCACTAATTGCATTATTGGATTTTTCCTGCCTGGAGCTTGAAATAGTTGTTTAGAATTATGACAACTTTGAAATGTAACCTTTACTGTCTCCCAATAAGTTATCTTGCAGCAGTTGAGATATCAGGGTTACTGATGAGATAGCTTGTCAAGTTGATGTGTGTTTTCTGAACCAAATATTTACCTACGTGTCTAGACTATGGCAATGTTTACACTGATGGAATTAGATAGCCATAAACTCACAAATTACATGCCAGGTAAAGAATGACAGTGCTGTCCATCACTTATACTATAACTATGAACTTACATCATAAATTCAACATTTTTACCTGTTAATTTCTATGAAAGTCTGTTTCTGCCATAAATGTAATACACTAATAAGAATGTATACCACATCTCTGCATTGGCATCGGGACCTTTTTCATTGATGTAATGCAAATATTAGTCAACTGATAAGTCATATATTTGTGTCCAATATCAATAAGAATTGATAGTGTAATGTTCCCTGATTCTATCATTTTACGTCATCATCAAGATACCAGAAATTATCCTATCTGGACATAGGTCTTATATAACAATAAAATAATCCTTGCATTTGATATAGCGCCTGATCACATGTTCAAGACGTCTCAAAGTGCTTCACAAAACATTCTGTGAAGTGAATTGATTGTATATCTTCTGGGCGAGACAAGGCAGCCAATTGCGGACAGCAGTGTCCCACAAATATTTGATTTTTATGCTTGGTCTCCAAAGTCTACTCAATGGAGGATATGTTTGAAGAAATAACACAATATATTCACCAAACAGTAGAAGCTAGTAAGGACCCACTTTTCTCCAATTCTAGTTATTAAATCAGAACCTTGAAATTTGATCCAGCAAATGCTGTATTATGAGGAGACCAGTGCTGTTTTTATCACTTATTCATTTCTTGTGGAAATAAATAAACTTTCTACATGAAAGTCAAATCTCTTCATATGGAGCATAAAAGTTTTGTCTCTTTGTGGAAAAAAAATTCAGTTCTACACGAGAATAATTCAAGACCAGATATCAGCTGACAAAATACGCAATACCAACACAAAAGGCAAAAAACACTGCAGATTCTGGAAATCTGAAATAAAAACAGAAGTCGCTGGGCACAGGCAGCAGGTCAGGCACCATCTATGGAGAGAGAGGAAAGTGAGTTAATCTTTAAGGTCGCTGACCTTTCATGAGAACAATTTGAATGTTCCTTAAGGACTTTTATTCTCAAACTATGACCAATGCTCAGAGAATTCCTCCTGCAACTTCAAAATAGATTAATCTCGTCTGAGATGGATTAGGAGCTAATGTGGTTCATGCTGGAAATCTCTGGGTAATCTCTTGAAAGGTAGTGTGTGTATGCATGTCTGTGCTTATTCAGCAACGTTTTTCGAGAAATGCAACCCATTGGCAATTAGAGGGATTTAATGTCATCACTGAAATATTTCAAGCATGATTGCAATATCTATGCATGATACGAACAGTGCATGTTAGCATTTGGAATATGTGAAAATCCTCAAATAAGCATTACACAGAATGAGTCATTTTACTTATTTTAAAAATATAATCTGACCCAAGGCCTCAATCAATCACGTTTTTGTCAATACTTTACATCTGCATTGTCCAATCCTGGTGCATCGATTGGAGCATTTAGTCCAGCTTCCTCAACACTTCTTACTACTCAAAGCATGAACCAGTATAAGTAGAGACTCACTATCTTTACATTCTGCTCACTGTGACCATCAATTTGACAACTTTATGGCCAGTTTGATGCTTAAGTGACTTCTCTCTCTGCATAGTCTATACATGAAACTGAAAATGGGCTTTTGTTTCATTTAACAGATATTTGGGAATTTAAAACTCGAAAACCCAGTCGACAGACATGTACATAAAAACGTTAACATACGGGTTGAAAATGCTTCATTTGTGAACTAGAGCTTTATCTGTGACAACAGAATACATATTTTAAAATACATATAGTTAGTGCCGTTGTATTTGATGTTTCTGAGAAATTAAGTGTTTTTTCTTGTGTTGCGATAAGATAGTTAATTAAATTTCACAGGGAAAGGAGCCATTTTAATGTGTATTGCTGAGTGCTCTTCAGTACAGCACAGAAAGCTGTTGCTAACAGGTATGGATTAAAAAGATTATTGCACTATTTCAGTGCTTCACTAAATGGTATTACAATTGTGATCATGGTTCTAATGCTCTCCAGTGATGGCACTTAGAAAATAAGATTTAGCAATACGAGTATGGAATCCTGTAGCTTAGTGGGTAGAGCACTCGCCTCGCAAGTGAGAGGACCTGGGTTTTAATTCTCAGCAGGCGAAACGTTGGGCAAGTTTCCCCAAATATAACCCTACCTGTGGATTTCTAGTATTTCTCGTTGCAGTTAAAATACGGTTTCTCTTTTTATTTCCAGAAACAATTCTCATCTTCTTCAACCTGCAATGAGTTAATTTGTTTTCATTGCCATCTTGTCCTTCACCATAGTTATTCTCTCTCCACGGATTACTGTTCGACAAGTTGGTTGGCACAACATGTGCATGAGAGGAAAGATCCACACCATCACAGTTTAGTTGTTGACTGACAAAACTCAACATATGTTCGATATTGACTATTAGAAGGACTCGAGCCTCGAATCTCAGTGTATGTAAACAGAGGATCTTAATTGCCTTCATTAATCTTGCACTTAATTACACGACTTTCTGAAAATAAATAATCTGAAATGAGAACTGGACAGCTGTTTTAACGTAATAATATCCTTGCATTAGCATTTCTAATGTACTTAAAATGTGCTATTTTAGTGCACGACTTTTTAAAAGGTAAAGACATTTAACAGAGAAGATGTATTCTCGTGCAATGCCACTTGGTGGAGCTAATAGGTAGCCAACTGCTCTAAAATTGAACTGACTTGTACACCATCAATATATAAGAAAAAGCTAACGAGATTTATGCTGCTGCAATTATTATTCCAAAACAACTCTTATGCACTTAATAAGCCTTCGGGTATTTCATTTCATCTCCTGTAACGTCCAAGACTATAAATTTAAACCAAATAATAAAGTAATTCCTTGTCAATTTATTTTACAGTGCTAATAAATGGTGCTATTGTTTCAAGGTGTTTGGTAAATATACTCTGACAGCCACCTGGAGGTCTAAAAATGTGATGCCTGCAAACCAATTGTGTTCATTGCAATTGTGATTTACCCAATTGTCTCTAAAGAATTCCTCTTTTGCATAACAATATTCAAAATTTAGGAAAGTAATGCAAATGTGATTGTAACTGAAGGGTTCTTATTTCTTCAAACACTACTTGTCATATCTCAAAGGATGCACTAGGCATCTTTTATTATACTTAGAATCACTAACAATGCACTTGCAACTGGAAGAATCTGCCAATTAATAGATACAATGCTTCCGTTTGCTGTTCTTTACATAAAAATAATGATGGTGGAGAGTGTTCTGATTTTCAGCTACTATTTTCTCTCCCTTTATTAGCACATTTTAATTGATTTTTTTCCCCCTAACTTGGTGACTCTTGTCAAGTAGATTGATGATGAATGCCTTATGGATAAGGGATATAGTTGCATTGAATCAACGGACTAAAGAATGACACAAGGATTTTGATGTAACAAACATAAACAATGCAGTTTGGAACACAAATTGTGTGCACAATTAATGGATCCCCAATTGAAAAGATATAACAGGAAAAGGATATAGGTGTAATAAGTATCATCCACTTAAAGGAGAAAGCATCTAGTCACCGTGAAGCTGTTATTAATGAGGCTAATCAGCGAAGGGGTGTATTGTGAGGATACATTTAATTATACATTTAAACAGGTCATTTTAGTCTTGTATAATTCATCAGTAAGAATGCATTTAGGATTATCGTGTGCAGTTTGGAAAGTCTGACCTTCAAAAGGACATTGACGCATTGCAATATGTTCAAAAAAGAGCAATGAGGATGATTTCCAGACTTATGGCTCTAAATTATGAGGAGATACTCTCGCAACTAAAATTTGTTTTCACTGGAGAAAAGATTGGGAAAGGAAATGATCCATGACTGTCAAGTTGTTCAGGGGCATTGATAATATAGAGATACAAGTAATTTAAATCAAACTGTGTTCAAAGAACAAGGAACATAAGCAAACCATGCATGAAACTAATTAGGAAAAACCCCCAGAAGAGTAGCTAAGCGACTTGAATCAACTTCAAGATCTTCGCGCAAACATATATATTCTTTAACATCTTAGCATCTCCCTACCTCTCTGACCTCATATCCCACTCCTATGTCTGCCCTTATACTCAGCTAACACATGTTCCCCACACCATTCTCTTTCTGTCTTTCACCCCCTTTTGCTAATTTTATAATTTGTGGTCTGCAAATGAAAATAAAGGCACTTCACTTAAATGTCTACCGCAATTTGTGAATAGAATGGAAATCTATTTTGACTAACTTAATGGCATCTAGTCTGTTGTGCTTTTTGAAAAAAACAAATGACATTTTGTAGTGTTTTTGTATGATGATTTATGTTTTCTGAAAGGTATTCTGGCTTCAGCTGTCTGCTAAAAGTCCTCATGGGGGAGCTCTGCAACCTAAAGTACATTCTGCACCGACATTACATGGAGTTGTATTTGTGATTGCGTATGGACTTTTTTTGAATCATTAGTTTTAATGCCAAGTCCATTTTGGTGTAGAGAGGAGCACAGCTGATTCCCAGTGGGTTGCTGTAAGCTGTTAGCAATTTCAAAAGACTTAGTTCCCTGCAAGATTGCTCTAATGTTGAAAAATTCCATTTTACTAATTAAATGAAAGTATTGATTAACCAGAGAAATTATAGATGTTGCAATGATCACTCCAAAAACCCCAATTAAATCATTAATGCCCACACTAACCTAGTAATGATCCACTGTGTTTGCACCTCAATCAGAAGCAAGCTTGCCTTTGCAAAATGGTGATACAATTCCTGGCAGCTTTCTTTTTCCCCTAGACTAGAAAAGGAAGTATTTTTTTATTATAAAGCTGCAGCAATGCTATGCATTTGGAATAATTCTCTATTTTGTTTCCTCCTTGTTTAAAAAATCCCTCTATTTAGTCTCCCTGAGCCATATAGCTCAAAAACAAATAAAAGACTGCACTTCCATTTTCTCCTGCAGTTATAGAACAGGTAGCATTTGAGAGCAGATTGAGAACATTTGATGGAGAATGAGTTATACTATCCTGTGTTCTGTGTAGGCACAATAATCTGCTACCTGGTGTTTCAGTGCTGGTAAAATTTAATGCTACGAAAGGGCAGACAATGAGCCCTCAGTGTTTTCTGACATTGCAAAGGAAGCCTGGGAGCTGTTTAAACTTTAAAATCAAAGTGTGCAAATTTCATACTGTTGTGGTGCAGTTAAGGTAGTCCTTCAAAGCCTGGGTTTATGGTACATTGTGGGTGGTGCAGTGGGAGCTTTCTCATGCAGATCTGTATTTGACCGAGAAGTGTTTGATCCAGATATTGGGTACAAGAAGATACAACATGTTCTTTTCCTGAGCTTGTCCTCCTTTTTTTTCTCGATGAGAACAAAAAATAGTGTAGAACAAAAGGGAATAGTAATGAGACTTTTTTTTATATTGTTAGGGATTTTGAACTTTTCTTCCACTGCAGGTCTTGGACAAATAATTAATTAAATAGCTTGACTTGACTGCTGAACATAACAATTGACATAATAATATTTGCAAACAAACACATGTACATGTACATACACACGCTATTCTGGTACACTCATGAAAGGCTGAATATAATTAATGTCTTTTGTTTTTTCTTCCTTCTTCTCTCAGCCCTTCTCTTCTGAGAAGGTTTAGAAGGTTATGCTTGAAGGCAGAAAGAGGCTCATGTGGAGCATAAACACCGGCATAGACCAGTTGGGCTGAATGGCCTGTTTCTGTGCTGTATATTCTAATGTATTCTAAGCATGACTCACCTTTGAGGTATAGTTCGATGGACACAAGCATATCTCAAGTACCTTACTTAAGTGACCATTCTTAGCATGAACATCAGCACTAAACCTGATCCTGATGATTGTGGAGTCCTGTAGCTCAGTGATTAGAGTCCTTGCCTCGCAAACGAGAGACCTGGGTTTGATTCTCGGCAGATTGAAACGTTGGGCAAATTTCCTTACACTACACGTCTCTGTTTACTTAGCAGCAAGTAGGAACCCGGTTGTTAGTTGATTGCCGGATTGCTTTTCCAGGGGTAATAATTCCTTCAATAAAAATAATAATAATAATAATCTGTGCGCAATTGGATGTCGCGTTTCGCCCACAAAATGTACAGTCAATTCACTTTACAGTATATTTTGGAAAGCACTTTGAGACGTCTCGAAGACATGATAATGCGTCATATCAAATGCAAGAATTATTATCATGATTCTGCCTGAACCAAAGCACATGTCATCACTTGATAACTACAGTATTTACATTCCTATATTGAAGGAATTGTAGCACCCTCACTGCTGTTCTGGTGGGAAACAGCTTGCTCAAACCAGAGTCTCTCCTGATTTGTGTGCAATAATTCACCACTGTAAATTTACTTAAGTTGTCTTAAGTACAGGAATAGTTCAGAGCACCAATAGCTTTCCTCCCAAGAAAAGTCATTTTCCTGCTGTCTCCCCTGCCCTTGGCATTTCACTACAAATTTCCATATGTATCATTTTGGATTTTCCCAGTTGGACACGCAAATATTAAGGACAACCAGGGATTGCCTTTAGCACTACATTACTACTATTTTACACAAAATATACAGTCAATTCATTTTACAGTATATTCTCTGAAGCGCTTTAACACATCTCAGCAATGCTATGTCAAATGTAAGGAATATTATTATTATTACTACTACTATTTAAAAATGGCCCAACTCTCAATGCCATGGCTATCCTGGTAGGCCAGGGCTTAAGCCATATGAATTGTCGATATTCCTGACCTGCAGTTCCTGTCTATATTCCTGTGTTAGGTGCTGCTTGTACCAATATTAAGCTGTGTTTGTTGAAGCACAAACCAGTCACAGTTTCACATAAAAATGGTAAAACTTACATTTAATAATAATAGTCTTTGCATTGCATATGGTGCCTCAGCAGGTCTTCGAGACGTCTCAAACCACTTCACAGGATATATTGTAAAGTGTAGTGACTGTATAATTTGTGGGTAAAGTGCAGCAGCCAATTGCATACAGCAGTGCCCCACATTTCTTTTATTTCCAAACATGCAATTTCCTTTATTTCCAAACATGCAATTAGACCAGGATGTGCAATTAAATGTGGCTCTGGACCACTAGACTAAGAGGGAGTCTTTAATAGAATATATCTGAAGTCCTAACCACTCTTCATTAAAACAATTGTGTGCCAGTATTTCTAATGAATTCCTGCAGCAGTGAGTCAATGATGAAAACATTTTCAGGAGCAATTCATGACGTTTTATAACCACTCAGAACTATGGCAGAGTAAATAGAATGCACTAGAAGGTGCGAGATGTAAAAATGAAAGTTTTGATGCATTGGATTAACATTTGTGTGTCCAATGCTCATGCATTATTGAAACATTGGTAGCCCCAGGAACAGAATAGGTATAAATTGTACAATTCTGAACTTCTTTCATTGTTCCGAGAATGAAACACTTACTCTGCATCATACTCCACTTATTCTGTGACATTCCACGCTGAAATATTTTAGTGACCACTCAAGTCTTTCAAAGTTACACCAACAAAAACAGTACTGACTAAATAGCCGCATTAGTTTCTGTTTTTAATGTTTTGAAGTAGAACATTGAAGGGACACTAAAAACTTTAAACCAGCTGATTACAAATGAACAGTACTTATATTGTACCATCAGGTACTAAACTAAATAACCGCTTCATGACCATTTGCTAATAGTACTTTGTGATCTTTCCAGGGTTGCAATCTCTGAGATGCAAAATAAATGCCTGAGAGGCAAAAAAAATGGCCCTCGCTCAGACCATTCACAATTCACTGGGCATTGCTGCCAAGTAATATCTCGCTTCTCAAGACTTTCTGACTTATTTCCTTGAGCACTATGGTACAAAATGAAGTACCTAGCTTGATTGAAACTTTTGTTCATAACGGATGTAGCTACTGTATGAATAAGCTTCAAATTGTGTGTGTTGTGACCAAAAGTTTCGATCAAGCGAAGGGGGCGCTTCACATTTTATGTTAGTACCTGCCTCCCACATTTCACAGTGGCAATGAATGTTGGTGGGAGGCAGGTACTAATATAAATACTTATTATACAGAAAAGAAGAAAGAACCCTTAAATAGGGGGATATGGGGCAAGGAAATTTCAAACATTAACTTACCTTTCATTATCTTCTCCAAAGACCTTTCCACAAAGCTTCCTGCTTTCAAATGCATTTCTCTTTTAAAAGATGGTCAGGTGACAACCTTAGATCTTCCTGAAGAAAATAAAGAATGGAATCAGATGGGAAAAAAATCATACCAGCAAACTCACTTCTTTTCCATAGGTCATCTACAATCTTAATGCTTTGCATCCACCCAACAATAGGGAAATCATTCATAAAACTAAACCATCATGTAACTAAAAGAAATAAAGCTACTGGCTGCACCTGTCAAGTATTTTATCTAAATTATAACTAGGTTTATGGATAATCAATTGATTGATCGTGTACTAAGTTCTCTTGGGACTTGACTCCAAGCTAAAATTTATATTCAACATGGACCGGCAGATGCTGCTTGACCTCAAGAGCAGTTTCAGATAATTCTACGGCCGACAACGTTTTTTATGGTTACAATTAGGGCAGTGAGTCAGGGTGCTCTTGCTCAGTTGGTAAATGAGAAATATATGCTAAGGCAGGACAGGTATATGCCATGCACTCCTTCAAAAGTGGGTCGGCCATTGATTGAGACTAGCATAAAAATAGATAGGGATGGAAGGAAATGACAAGTGGCTTTCCGTGCTCTCAAATGTATGAAGGATGCTCATGACCAAAATATGGAAAATCATACCCTTGGCTATTCACTGTAGCAATCAGGACCATAGAAGATTATTGCTAGATCTCTGAAAGTTCTATCTGTTTATTCCTTTCTCCTTGCAGGGAATTGAAATGACAGTATTTCTTGTGTACAATGTGTATTTCTTAAAACCAATCAGACCCAAACAACAACAACACATTACATTTGTATGGCACCTTTCTCGTCGGGAGGACGCCTCAAGGCTTCTAATTCCAAACAAGCATGAAATCAGAAGCCCTTGGTTATGCCTTGAAAGATCAATAAAATACTTATTGATAAGTATACTTATTAAAAAATGGTAATGGAAAGCATTATTATGGTTGTTTACAATGGCTGCTTTCCACATATAGTTCCTTTCTTAACTGAGAATGTGGTCACCAATCATAGCATTATATGTTGTTGGCTATGGAAGCTGCTATGCTGGGAATTTCTCTTTTGGGATAACCCTGCCCTAAAGATTCTAACACCGACATAACAATGAATTTCAGAAATGCTTCATTTAATTATCCATTTAACCCTGCCAAGTAATACCACTTTATTATAGTTCATAAATGGAACACTTTATAAAAACTCCCTGTCATTATTAGAGATTTTCTCCAGCAGATGTCTCTCTCAGACCAATTTGTCACCAAAAAATATTTTTCCATGAAGATAGTTTTGGGCAATTTATGCAATAGTTTGGACAATTACTAATGGCCTCTTCGTTCTTGAAATATCTACAATTTGCAAGTTACTTGTTACCAGTGTCTTGCAAAGCAGCATAAGATAAATATTTAAAGTTTCCAATCAAACAGTGATAGGGGACCACAGACAAATCCTCAGCTCTGTGCCCTACTTACTCTGTGGCACTGCATTTTGAAACTTCAATGTTCTATTTATGATCAAATATTTTAACATTATATTCTACGCCTCAATATGACAAGTCTATTACTGAATAATAACTGTGTGCATTTTGTACATTTGATTATAAGATAGCCAAGCTCCATGCTCAAAAATATTATTGTCTTTTAAATATCTGCTTTCATGCATTTCCTCATGTAGAGACTTACTGAATGAGCAATGACATCGGGAGGGAAGAATTCAGCGGATGTGCTTCTCTGCAACAAGGAGAAAGAACAGAAGAAATGTTATCCTGGCTGCTTCTAAAGCACTTCCATATAGCCAGTTATACAGTGAAGTTGGTAAAGGCTTGAGAACATGTCAACTGTGTACAATCTAGTTAGAAATTAATGAATGGTACAGAACAATAAAAGGGAAAATGATGTACACTTATTCCACTTATCATTAGCAATATAATTAATAAGAAAATAAGTTGCTCCAGGCCAAGAATATTTTACCAATTAGTTTTATTGATACTTAAAATTGTGCAAGATTCCACACCCATTTGCTTTTTTGGAATACAAAAAGGTGTACCTTGGGGGCAAACTGACTTTAACCAGCGAGAAGGATACAAGAGTTGTAAAACATGGCAAATTATAAAATAAATAGCTAAACCCAGCACAACTGCAAGGTAACTGCTCTTTGAAAATAGAGAGGAGGTTGCTTGATCATGATCACATCTAATCCAGGTGGATAATAATAATAATAATAATAATAATAATAATAACAATCCTTGCATTTGATATAGCACCTTTGAGACATCTCAAAGAGCTTCACAGAATATACTGTAAAATAATAATAATAATAATAATCCTTGCATTTGATATAGCGCTTTTCACGTTGGGAGGATGTCCCAAAGCGCTTCACAGAACACACTGTAAAGTAAATTGACTGTATATTTGTGGGCGAACGCGGCAGCCAATTGTGCACAGCAATGTCCCACAAACAGTCATAGATTGAAAATGACCAATTTTATTATTGTTTTTGGTTTTTAGAGGGATTATTATTAGGCGTGTGGAGTAAGGAAACTTGCCCAAGGTTTCGCCCTGACCTGCCTGGAATTGAACTCAGGTCTCTCGCTTGCAAAACGAGTGCTCTAACCACTGAGTTACAGGACTCCACAAATTGAAACGACTGTATTTTGTGGGTGAATCGTGGCAGCCAATTGTGCACAGGAGTGCGCCACAAACAGTCATGGATTCAGCGACCAAATTATTATTATTAATTAACTTTTTTTTGTGAAGGGATTATTACCCCTGGAAAAGTGATCCGGCAGTTGACTAACAAACTGGTTCCTACTTACTGCTAGGCAAACAGTGGCGCATGGAGCAAGGAAACTTGCCCGATGTTTTGCCTTGCCCAGGAATTGAACCCCGGTCCTCTTGCCTGCGAGGCTCTAACCACTAAGCTACCAAAGTTAACTTGCACACAGTAGAAGGAAACAGATTTCAGTCTCTGATTCTTTACATGTGGAAAAGCTCCCCGAGGGCCATTCTGTCCTAGCGAAGTAGGGTCAGAAGTCAAAACACTAGAGAGAGACAAAGATGCTTAACATTGTTAACAGAGCTACCACACATCAGTCATCACCATCGGAACAGAACACATTCAATGTTTGGATCTTGTGGAAGTTGACCCTCAGACAAAGCTGAATAAGTTGAGATTGAAGAACTGCCCATCTCTACTGTATGAAGTCATGATTAAAAATAGAACTCTATGGTTCAAGGTGGTACTTGGCTACTTCCAACTTTTGTATTAGGTTGATATGACCCTCTCACAATATATTTAGGATGAATCTTTCCATGACAGTTTGAGATGTATGAAGGAAATTGGAAACCTCTACCTGGTGTGACATTGTGATCCAGCTAAGCTTTTCTTTCAGAATATTATTAAATTCCTCTACTGCCTGACAAGGGTTTAGTCTATTCACTAATAAATTCTCTCCGTTATTGCCAGGAGGCACATTAATATTGAAAGCTCCCTTGATATAAGATGTGGATTATCTTCATACGAAGGTTGGCTTCAGATTTTACCTGAGTGCCATGGTAAGATATAGCTGTCCCAAATACCACAATGCTGCATTGTGCTGAGCTATATCTTTCTTAAACAATTTATACAAACAGAATTCTCAGTTCACTTCTTTACTGAATGGTAAAATACTGGGTATAAATGGCAATTCATGTTCCCATATGCAATCCATTGTGTTAGAATGTAGATTTTTAAATAATTAATATGTAATGATTTGGTAATAGAAGATTAACATTAAGTTAAACTGGCATTTCTGTGTCCATAATAACATAGGCTGCAGTTCCGCATGTTTGCTGAAACACAAGTTCAGCTAGTTTATGTCTAGACATAAATTTTTAAAAATGACAAGAACAATAGAGTTGATTAAAAGCGCAACACAGTTCAAGATAAAATTTTAAAATAGCGTAAAAGAATAATTCAGTTTTGATGCTTGGAAAGCCCACGCTGGAGATACATTTAAACTTACAGCAATGAGAGTGATGGAGACATTAAAAGCTTAATGTTTTGAATCATATCTGTACCTGCAACAATCTGAAATTCATCTAATTCTAATAATACTCTTTTTCCTTTCGGAATGATTTCTTGGGAAATCATTCACAGCAAATCTCCTAAACTACTTGGAGGCACAGGCATTTCTGCATTCGGAAAATTACTGTGTTCATCAAGATTTATTTCTCTAGGGTTTCTTTGCAAAATTCACTGGGCTTCTATTTCATTTTTCTAGTAATTCACAGAATTTCACAAAGACTTTTATAAATTATAAAATACATTCATCACCTCATCAGTTTAAAAGATTATGGACCCCCATATTGATTATAAAACGGAAATTAATTTTGGTGTTCATTATATTGTTTATTAAAATCGTACAGTAACCTACAATAACTTACAACTAAAGGAATCTTAATTTTGAATATTTTTATTAGAACTTTAAACCTGGTGATATTTATAGGCAGAATATCATTTAATATTCTTTATGATTCCTAACTAATCCCAAGACACTTTTTTTCTTAACAACTTAAAAGCCTATATTCAAGGTGACCCAAATCTGCTGGCATATGCCAGACAAGACTAATTTATATGACAAGTACAAGTACAACATTTGATAACATTTTTGCAACAAAAAAAATAAAAAATATTACAATTAGTCCACTTCGATCACCATCATATATTTTTATCATTTCAATATTTCTATTGTTCTACAGTACGGCATTCATCCATGAGAAAAAAAAATGCTGCATCCTGAAATATTGGAAAAGTCTTGACATTCAAATGGTTAAACCATTTTTGTGATGAACCTCATAATTGGATTTTACAACAGTGAAACATACAGTTGGAAAGCTTTAAGTGCGACCGAGCTTTCTCATGATTGCAAATGAATGTTTGCAATACACCTTCAAGATCTGTATAAATTCTGCACTTCTGGAATCCATCTTTCTGGTTATGGCAGTGATTCTCGTGCATTTGTGGATTGAAAATTACGATGTGCAATACCGGAAGATTTGAAAATGGGCGATGCTTTATACAGTGTTTTCATACAGCATCTGTGAACCAACCCATAGGGATTCCGCAGCTTTAAAACTGACCATACTAATTCACTCTCAATTGTACTAAATGTGCTTCTGCATGGAGTTGCCAATGTTAATTTCATAGCTAAACTTCGATTTGATGAAATAAGCTTTAAATTACTGTTATGTAATATTGTGAAAGGTGCAAAGCGCATAAAACAAACTCTTCTGGGAAGAAAGCTATTGTGTTTGCAAGCAAAAATTTCAAACATTTTGTAAAGAAAAAAATTAAATATGTTTTGGTAATTATTGAATATCATTATTTAAAAAAAGTTCAAAGCATTGTGATTTTAGTTTGAACGCTTTTCTGCCATAGAGATTTAATAAGTTTACCCATTTAATATGTAGCGAACTAAGGAAAACAGTTCGACATAAAATAATAAGATAGCTTCTGGCGTGTAGTTTCATAAAATTTAATAAAAGCAAACTTTCTTCTCATACAGAGAGGCAAAGTTGTATATAATTAGCTTATAGTGCATTAAATATTTTGACAGGGAAAAATTATTTCAGTGGGAAATGTTTCTCATCACTGCTTCTGAATGTTAAATCAAGCATTTTGTTTATGAAAGATATGGATCGACTTCAACTTTAATGACAGGAATGAAATCTCAGCGCGATTTAAACAATCTGGCTTATATTTCTCAGGAACGTGATTGACATCCGTGTCAGAAAACACATACACACACAGCCAGAATAAAGCAAACAAGTGCAACTAAAAAGGAATAGCTGACTCAACTCATCCCTTCCCCTCTCTCTCTCTTTCTTTCTCTGAACTCTGGACTCCATTTTTCCCACTCCCTTTAGGATATCTCACTTCTTTCTTTCACCATCAGTTTCTTTCCCATGCACGCACCCAAACATTATCAAAGAAATCACCACCATATTACCTCGGCAGGCACTGGCCTATCCTCCCTATCTTATCCTGCCCATCAGCACTCGGGCTTTCAGCTTTTCTGCCCCCTCCCTCCGGAACTTCATCCTGGAGTCCCTTAGTTTTACCCCCTTCCTTGCCTTCTTCAAGATCCATCTCAAGACCTTCTTCTTTGACCATGCCTTTGGTTATTCTCCATGCCCCTTGCCTGCCATCCATCTTGACTGCAAACCCTTGCTCGACTGTAGCGAAAGGCATTATATAAATGGAATTTGTTGCTGTTGTTCAGTTCTTGCCTCCAGGTTAAGTTTACCTTAAACATAAAATGGCAATGAATAATCAGTTTGCCTTAGAGTCTTTGCTTTGTTTTAAAACAACAAGGATTGACTGATGTTTGGACGACTCACACATTACCTCTAAAGGTCAGTTAATTTGTTCTGTGGAACTGAATGTCAAGCAAAGTTAAAGCATACGTCAACAAGAGACGAAAAATGTTGGGAAAGAGGAGCTTAGCGTCATAAGAGGACATAGCATCAGATCGGAATATCAGGGAGGATATGGAGAACTTTGATATTATTGTCTGTACAAAGAAAAATAACTATGGTAGTGGGTTCAAATTAAGTCTAATTGGAATTTGGGGCCTCAGGAAATGTTCAGTGCCTGATGTGAATAATAGAGTAGTTATAAAAATTCATACCAAACAAATGCAAAATACAACAAGCAACACATTGTAAGATCTCTGAACGATTTAATTATGTACATTTAAATAATTCCAACGAAGATCCCCTTCAGACAATGAAGATAAGTGTGTTCTAATCAGGTAATGCTTCACCTAAGCAAATCCAGTAGGTAAATACAAAACCATTCCTCACCGGTGATTTTTCATTTCTGTTCAACAACAGGATGGTGAAAAGGTCATTCAGATGAT